GGGCTAGGAGTTTAAGGCCATACTGGCCCCTGCTAATGCCGCCATTGCTTTAAATGTTTTCAGTTTTACTGTTGGTTTGTTCTGTTAATTGTTATCTTTCTTTGTCTTACAGAGACATCAAACTTGTACCTTCATCTTCTTCTGTAGAAGGTATCCCACAATACAGTCTCCTTATGATGGATAAGATAGCCTTGGAAATCAGAATGAATGTTAATAAAATGTAACATGGAAGAAAAGAAGACTATGTTCATAACAAAATGAATATATTTTACTGATTAATTAAATAAATTAGTTTTATTGTGTATGATACAAGTGAAATAAAAGCATATAAAGAAATTTAATTTTTTTTTTTTTTTGTCATTCGATTTTTTATATAATGAGAATCACTGTACACTCTGAAGTGGGTTACAGATAAATAAACTACAGTGAATTGAAAACAGAAGAGAAAATGGACATTAATTAACTAAGAGAGGATAAACAAACCAATATTTGCAAGGTCATAAATGAGGAAGAAGAGGCTAAAATTTTGCAGCTAGAAGTTTCTCCAGGATGTTTAGAAGCATGTGGTGCAGGTTATAAGGTGTTGGGCTTCAGTGGCGTAACTAGAAGTCTTGAAATGGTGGGGCCACTGATGGGTGAAGGGAGTGCAAAGGTGAGGTGGGGGAGGGCTCGATGGTACGCCACACTGCTTGTGTCCTTGGGCAAGACATTTTATCTGTACTTGCTTCACTTCACCCTGGAGTATAAAAGGGTACCTGGAAAGACGTGAATGATTTGGAATGAAACTATAAATCCTATTTCATAAATAAATATATAAATAACGAGTTCGAATGGGTGGCACTGTAAAAAAACGATGTTGATTATTAGAAATTTACTATACAAACATAGTTACTATTACATAATATTTACTATATATACATCAAAGCATTCTTTCAATTTTCAACCGAAATGGTCTTATTTCAGGCAGCGGCGCAGCTAGGTGGGAACAGGCCCCAGTGCAAGATTAATTGCTGGGCCTTGATGAAGCATATCTGTATAAGCCTGAATTACGGGATTTTTCAGGAGCCGTATTTTGAATTTCAAAGAATGAAAATTCTAGGACTAGGTATACCAGGGCGGTAGCCAGGATTTTGAAAGGGCGGGGGAGCCGTTATGCAAGGTGTGTAGGACCCCAGTGGGGTCCAGGGGCGAAGTCCTCTGGGCAGTAGGGGGGTTGGACATTTCGTGAGTCGACACCCACCTCAGACCATGGTTGGGGAAAATTTGAGAAAATAGTCGGAAATGGTCAGAAATGACACTTTTAATCAAATTCATAATCATTGCATCACCATTAGGCCTATGTATAGTTAAAATGAAGCGCCTACACATTTCTCATGATCATTTATCAGAGATTTTCGGCAACCATTATTATGTGTGTTGTACCATAGAATATAAAGCTTAAAAGCATTGTCTTTGGGTATGTACTTTACATACTTCAAAGCCGTGTTTTCACAACCACCTCGGCCCCACCATGGTGGGCCTGAGGTAAGAAAATTTGAGGAAATAGTACTTTTAGATGGCCGGTAATGACACTTTTATATAGTAAAATCCTCATTACATTACCATTATATAGTCAAAATAAAGCGCAAACAAAATTCTCATAATCTTTTATAAGGGATCTACTTAATATCCAGGCTTAACTATAGCTTAAAGCTTTAACTATCTATATTAATTATGATCAACAAATCACAACTTTCTTTTTCACCATTAGCACAATTTTCTTAACTTTTTAATATTAATAATAGGGCCTATTATTTTTATCTATCAATATCACCGGGTGGGAGGTGGAGACGCGGCTCCCATGGCTTCCCCCCCCCCCCTCCGGATACGTCCCTGAGGTATACTGATTTACTGATTTAGAAAAAATTCATCGTAAGAAGTCCTCAGTGGGGGATCCAGTAATTCGAAATAGAGGGAGCCTGGGGGACTTTCACACATGGAGAGTGTAGGCCTAGACAACCTCAGCTCCACCATGGTTGGGGGAAGAGGAGTAACTTTATGAATATTTTGGTACCTCTAGATGGAAAGTGATGACGTTCTCAGACCTTTATTTTTTTTTCTCTATTTTTTTCATAGTTTTGAAAATTTAGGGGTGCTCGGACCACTACTGGTTTTACCCCTACCCCTAATCAAGGCTAATAGACTCTAATACAGTAAATAATACTGTTCTAAACTACAAGAAAATTGGTGGCAAAAAAAAAAAAATAATAATAATAAACAATTGCAGTGGGGATGATCAGGAATTCGAAATTGAAGGGCCCAGAGGGATGGACTTTCACAGATGGAGGTACCTCAGGCCCACCATGGTTAGGGTTGAGATAAGAAATGTATGAATATTGCACCACTCTCAGATTTAAATTTGAATATAATTTTATTTTTTCCTCATTATTTTAAAATAATCTTGAAAATATTAGGAGGCCCGAGGCAGCTTGGAACCCTTTTAAATTTGCCACTGAATTGAAAATGAATACAGTAATCAAGAATTACTCCTCTAAAACCCTAAACAACATTGAGTGATTCGCTGGCCATTTTTTCTTCAAAAATATTAATTATTTTTAATTATTATTTTTAGGCCTATATGAATGGGCCTCTAAAAGCCCTGGGCCCCAGTGCTTTTTGAATTTAAATTTGAAGTGATGCACTGTCTGTAGCTACGCCACTGAGTTCAAGAGCGATGGTCACAGACTGTTTGGATGGAGAAGACATTTCGTTTATGTTTGCTCATAAGTTAAGCCAGGTTTTCATAAAGTTGCTACGCAGTTGCTACAGTTTTTTCACTGCAATCAATACAGTGCGTAGTTTCTCCCCACAGGGGCATATCTGCAGGGGTGGATTCAGAGATGTTCGAAAAGGGGCCTAATTTTTTCTTTGTTTTTTACGGTACTTTCCAAAAAAAAAAAAAAAGGGGGGGGGGGGCAGGCCCCATCCGCCCCTGTATCTAGGTGTCTTGAAATGGGGAAGGGTGGTGGGGACGCCAACAACATTAGGGAGGGAGTGTAGAAAAGGTTGTTGATTTTATATACAGTGACAATGAAAACCCGCCTTCAGTACACGTAATACCAAATAATGTGCGTTGGCCAGAGATTGTAAATATTAAATGTGATTACAGACCTTGTCGCAACGTCACAGAACGCTGTTGGCCCGACGTCGGTAAACGTTTAGAATGAGTACTTTGTTGGCCCGACGTCGGTAAACGTTAGTGGAGGTTGGTGACAACAGTTGGGCCGACTTTGGTTAGAAGTTGTAAATTTCAAACGTTTACCGACGTCGGGCCAACAGAGTACTGTGACGTTGCGACAACGTCTATAATCATACATAATATTTACAACCTCTAAGAAACGTCGGCCCAACGGTGGTACCCAACATCTATTTCAAACGTTTACCGATGTCGGGCCAACAAGGTACTTTGACGTTGCGACAACGTCTATAATTATATATATATATATATATTATGGAGGTTGGTTATAACCGTTTGGCCGACGTTGGTTAGAGATTGTAAATATTAGATGTGATTATAGACGTGGTCGCAACGTCACAGTACGCTATTGGCCCGACGTCGGTAAACGTTTGAAATGGAGGTTGGTTACAACTGTTGGTCCGACGTTGGTAAGAGGTTGTAATAAATACTAGGATGTGATTATAGGCGTTGTCCCAACGTCACGGTACTTTGTTGGCCCGACGTCGGTAAACGTTAGTGAGGTTGATGACAACAGTTGGGCCGACGTTGGTTAGAGGTTGTAAATTTCAAACGTTTACTGACGTCGGGCCAAAAAAAAGAAGAAAGAAATGGTTCGTTTGGGAATCGAACACACAACCACCAGGTTTGCTATTCATTATCCACCATCAACTAAACTGCCTTAAAAAAAAAAATGGTTTGTGTGAGAATCGAACAACAGGTTTTCTATTCATTATCCACCATCAACTAAACTGCCTTTAAAAAAAAAGGGGGAAAAATGGATCGTGTGGGAATTGAACACACAACCACGAGTTTTCCCGTAACATGATTAGTCTATATTTTTTCTAATTTGCATAATGAATTTTTCAAACATTTTTGTCTATTTAAAAAAAAGTTATGGAGATGGTAACAATCAAAAATCGATTATAAATTAAATTCTACATTTTTGGACAAAAAATAAACCCTCTTGGCCCACGGCCCATTTTTGACACCATGACCATGCATAATAATAACCTGCAGTGTATATATACAAAGAATTTTTTCTAGTAGGATCAGAGTTGACTAACTGGTACTTGGTGTGGTACTAGGTTTATTGCATTTATGGCTTAGGGGCCGCGGTTTACCTCCCTCCGTTTAGTCATGCTGGATCAGGAGTAGTAAACTCAGCGATCGTGGGTTCGATTCCCACATGGGGCAATTTTTTTAATTTATTTTAATTTATTTTTTTTAAGGTCGTGGGTTCGATTCCCACACGAGCCATTTTTTTTTTTTTTAATATTTTTTTTAAGGCAGTTTAGTTGATGGTGGATAATGAATAGCAAACATGGAGGTTGTGTGTTCGATTCCCACACGAACCATTTTCCCCCCTTTAAGGCAGTTTAGTTGATGGTGGATAATGAATGTATTGTACCCGTTGATGACGTCGCGAAATAACAACAAACAACAACGTGTCATGTCCGAGCCTAGGCCGTCATGGAAGCCCACTGGCTCCTGTATAATTCATGTTGAGCCAACTGCAGACGAAAAGGTTACAATCTTTTCAGAGATAAGCTGGAAGTTTTAGATAGTGCCCATCAATGGAAGGATTTTAATACTGAGGAATGGAAGTTAGCGAAGTCCTTGGCTTGCTTAACCGTTTTTCTTCGATCGTCGCTTCCAACCGTCTAGGCGCATCTAGCCTAAAGAGGGCCTACATAGCAAGTCGAGATTCCATGAAAAGTCGTATATAAAGATTTGGGATACCCATACCTACATCTTTATATTTGCACAAATAAATCAATGGTTTATTGAGCAGATTAATCACACTGATAAACAATTGTACTACATTCGGCTGATGCATGTCGACGCCCAAGTCGACGCATGTCCGGCAGGGGGTACAAACCAAGTGGTCGTTTAGAGCCGGGTAATAAAAATTCCGAGTAGGGGTAATGGGTACGTGTTTTATAGCTTAGTATGGCCAATGGCGTATCTAGATGGCCCAGAATTGTGCTTTTAGACCACATATTAGGGACCGGCAATAAAAAGATATCGTTATTTGTATAGGCAACTGGTCCGACGACCTCGTCATGGCGTGGGACGACGGGAGGGGAACCTTCCTACCCTCCCACTGGCGCCACCAATGGCTGGGACTTGGTGATGTTTGCAAAGCAGTTTAAATCACATATAAAAAGTTGGGAGAAATCAATGTAGTGACGCAAAATACAATTTTGAACACAATGCGTTGGACAGGACAGGCCACTAATACTAATAGGCCTCTTTCTGAAAAGACAAACCGATTCAGAGACGTATCCAGGGGGAGCCGTGGGAACCGCGGCTCCCTCCTTGGCGATTTATTTTGATTACCTATAAAATGGTGATATGATTTATGCCCCTACTCCAAGTATCGAAATGCACGTCATCGTGTCGGGATTCACTATTTCGACATTAATTATGTCATCATCATCATTCCTGATTACAATGTAATCGAAATGCACGCCATCGTGTCGGGATTCAATATGTCGACTCGACAATAATTATGTAATGATTACATAATTAATGTCGAGTCGACGTATTGAATCCCGACACGATGGCGTGCATTTCGATACTTGGAGGTATTATTCTATCTTATCTGAGATTATAATCAGTGGACCTTTCGGTTTCTATCTAAGTTACTGTACACGTGGTTAACTATAAGAAAGTAAAATACATTCTCCAAGTATTGATTCCCAGCACAATGGCGTGCATTTCAATATTAAGAGTATGTATCATATGTTGTTATCTTAGATGCATCGCTTGTTTTTTCTTCTTCATATTTCATATATTAAAACTGGACAGGACGGTAATGATACTTCGAAGTATCGTTTTTTTTAATAGTTTTATTACATATTATACTGTACTATTATAAAGTAGTATTTACACTACAATAATGGTTCATTTTTTTTCATATTCTTAAACAACTTTTGTTAACGGAACAATTACATTTCTTCCTTTAGTCGTCAAAGGTTGTTTCTTTACTGTTTATTATACATTAGAACTTTAAAAACCAGAAAATGGCTCGTGACAACCAGGCGGCGTTTCTTTACCTAACCTCGACCTCGATCTTAAAGAGGCTCTATGAAATAAAATAAAATAGATAGGCCTACAAACAATAGCAACGATTTTAATAATTTAAAATTAAAATACATGGCCTGTCATAGAGAAAAAAAGTTACGTTATAAATAATTATTTATTTAATCAGTTATCATTTCGTTATAGCGCCACCAAGTACTTACCTTCCTCTATAAGTTCCCGCTTTCTTATCACAAATAATTGGGGGTATTATTCGTTGTTTTGCTATGAAAATGATTTTGTATAAACATTGCTTTTATGTGGAATACGTATAAGATAGTTATACAACTTATTTTGTTTTGAAATTACTTTATGAAGTGAACACATTCAAATTCGCGCTTTTATCGAGAGGCGGTGAGGGTAGGTGTGTAACACACCGCCTTTTGAGGTCATCATATCATCAAGGCGGGGTCAAATTCAGCAGTCCTGAATAATTTTGAGAAGTGCTTGGAAGATAGGCACGGAATTTGCTAGATATTATTGGAAATTGTAACTGTATTTGCAATTGAATATCGACAATGGCTGATAAAATTGAAGAGCAAGAAGGAGTACACTTATTTGTCAGGGTATGTACTTGTTTATGTGGTGTTGTTTTAATGCTGTTAATGTTTTTACTAGGCCTAGGCCCAGCAATATGACCTGGACTGTCGGTATAGTGGCAGCATGGCGTCTAGCTAGGCCTAGTAGAGCAGCACATATCTTGTGTTGAGGTGATGGAATGTAAGCGGGAGGTAGCCTAACTCGTGGCACAGTGAGGCTTAGCGTAACTTAGCCTATCTAAAATGGAATATGGACAGATTTGGTGTATTGACAGTTGTTTTTATTTGTAATTATTTTACAGTGCCAGTGGTATATTATTATTAATAATTGTCTAGACCTAGTATAGGCTAGGCCTAGCTAGGGTATACTATAATAGTATAGGCTAGCCTACCCTAGCTAGGTAGGTCTAAAGACTAGGGCCTAGCTAGGCCAAGCTGTTTAATAAAGAATGATTATAATATTACTATAATACTAGTTCACCAAAATGGATGGAACATTGGACCCAGCCAGATGATTTGGTCAACCAACTGGGAGAGCTGCTTCTCAGTTTTTGAATATTGTATTTTACTTTCAAACAATTGGATTATAGTATTTTTATCTCAATGTCAAATCTTAATATATAACCAATGCAATTATGCAGCAATTACGATTCCGCACACCTACTTTCCTAGCGATTTTGAGCTGATTTTTTAGATATCCTGCATGCAATTAAAAAACTTTACAGTATGGTGTTTGTATTGTCATTTTGTGGGACCTTAGAAACTATATTGAAACAATTGAATTTACAATAACTATCAAAATATCATGTTATTACTTGAAGAATATACAGTACAGTTCAGTAGTTTTCCGAACAGAAGTAAACTTATTGGAATTTACTAATAAATTTCAATACTGTGTAATAATATTTTGTCATGTCATGAAAAGCAAATCATTCATTCATGAAATGATGAAATCCACAATACAGTAAATTGTTGTGTTATTAAACAACGGCACCAGCTATCATGAAAAATAATCATTCTGTATTCTGCCAACAGAACAAAACCTATTACAATTTTCTAATAAAATTTAATATTGAGTAATAATTTTTTGTCATAGTCAGTTTATTAGCATTTTGCAAAGAGAAGCAGATTACAGTTAGCTCATTGGTTAAACAGGTAGTACAGTAGGTAGCGACTGTGTGCTATATTAGTAGTCATGGTTATCTTTCAAACTTTGTCCTCATTGAATATACAGTATGTCTTCAAACTTACCTAAGGACAAGCAAAAATGGTATTGACAGGTTTTAAAATTAGTCTCTCTCATACCAAAGTGTCTATTTCCCTGTACTGCTAAATCTTCTTTGGTGTAATTAACATCACATTTTAAAATATAATGAAATGCATTATAAAGACAATCTTTAAAATAGAAGTCAATGACCCTTGATATACTTACTTTAAAATGTGGTCTTATAGTACCACAATGTTGTATAATTCTTTTTTTCTAAAACAGTTATGTACAGTTACTTGCTACATTTTGTGTGAGATCAATAACACTTCATCAGGCAATGAAATGTAGATTCTTTACAACACAACACAATGTAATACACCACAACAAACCAGATGAAGTTATTAAAAACAACCACAAATACAATTCTCATTTGTTTTTCCATGGTACTATTAAGCTACTTTACAGTACCTTAAAAATATTCCTTTAGCTGGAGTGTGTATCTTGTGCAATACCTTAGAATTAATTGTAATCTGTTGCTGTTAGTTTTGCTCTTTCTTATCTAAGACCATACCCAGGTCACTTCATCATCTCACCTCTAAAAATGGGTTCCCACTCAAACTGAAAATACTTGATGTGGTATCCGCTGAAACCATAAATCTCTGAACTGGTGGTAGGCCTACTGTGTGTGAGTGTGACTGTGTGTCATTTCAGGATTTACAATATCAGCACTTGTGAGGGTGGTCCATCCAGCTAGAACTGATCAATTGGGACCCTCACAGGGTCAAAGTTAAAATGAACTTTCAGTTCTTTAACTATAGTACATGTACAGTATGTGTCTGTTGCTTCACAAGAGGGCAAAGACTTGAAATTTAGGCCTACTGTACACTTCAAAGATGCAATCAGTCATTAATATCTCAGATGCAGTAAAAATTCTAAAAAAATCAATGAAAGTTCAATGAACATTTAGAATAGCTCATTAAATAGTGTTTTATTATGCATCAAGGTTAATTTTTAAAATAAATAATGTTCATAATTAAAATTACATTTTATTAAATACCTGTACAAGTAGTATTTCTCCAAAAATCATTTTGTACCTCACACACTCACATTATTTTGTTGGTCAGTACAATTTTATTTTATTTTTAAATTTTCTTCTAGTGTCTATGGGATTTTGGTACAAACATTTTGCCAATTGAAAGATACAGTAATTCAAAAATATGTTAGCTAGGTAAAATAAGTGTTGAGTAGGCTGTAGTTACGGTAGTTCCATATGAATAAAAGAAGCTTTATGTTCAAATTTGGTACATTGTATTATTATTACTAGTAGTAATTTTTTCACAATTGGGCAGCTTAAAAGTCAATATTATTATTTGACATACCTGATTGTTCATAAACAAGACTATAGAACTACTGTAAACTACAATTATTTTATAGGTAGAGGTCATGACCTTTGAGTTACAATGTAGCAAGGATTTGATTGATGTATTGATAAGGACTCCATAAATCACAGTGAACAGTAAACTTTTTTATAGTGCAATGGGAGGAAGTGTATTAAATCCTCAGTGGCGGATCTAGGGGGTAAATAGGGTGGCTATCCACCTCCCCCCACCCCTTTGTTTACTGTGAAAAATAAAATAATGGTCACTTGTCTTGTTTGCGTGCTTATCGTGTACTCTGGTAAAACATACATTTTCTATTTTAAGCTTACTTCTTTTCAGATGCCACCTAAGATCGTCTAGCAGTCTACTAATTCCAAAAAAAATCTTAAATGTGAGGGGATGCCCCTCCCAAAACTACCCCTTCCCCCAAAACCATCCCCTCCACTAGTGCCTTCTCATCTCCCACTATCCACCCCCATTGCTAAATCCTAGATCCGACACTGCTCCTTGTTTTGAACAAGATGTTGATTAGAAATAAATATTTCCAAAATTTTGTAAAGAATACTGTAATTACAATTTTTTGGAGTTTGCCCTCCAATTTGAGACCATCTTTGAGACTTCAAAATATTGTGTGTGATCTTAGGGTTTGGGGGCTAGGTGTTAAAAAGATAGAAGACTGTTAGTTGGTATTTTTAAAGAGTGCATTTAGAGGGGTCTCAAATTAGGGGGAAAACTATATTTGCACTGTACTGAAAACTTGTGAAGATGATGGTTGTGATACATTTTATGGCCAGTGCTATTCTCCTTTCTCAACACGATGGCGTGCATTACAGTATGTATTATACTTTCTCCTTTCTCAAATTGTGTAAATAATAATAAATTCAATGAATATTAGTGCTGTGCTGTACAGTACAGTACTTGCTGAAGTTGTTTTGTAGTTAATATCAACTTTTTGCAAATTAGGGGTTTAAAATACCAAAATATTTTTTGTTTGTTGCAAATCCCTGACAGGAATCATCAAAATCAGCTAGCCTCTTAATATATTGGCATTATAGTATGATAATTTCAAACATTTATTTTGTATAAATAAAAGTTAAGCCATAAATCTGCATACTTTTTTGTTCATTTGTTCAAAGTATTAGTGCAATGCGGCTACAATCATCATTGTACATTATGATTTTGTTGTAATTAGGCCAAAATAAAAAATGCGCTTGTTTAGCGTCAACCCCTCCTCCCCCCAACCTGAATTTTCAATCCCTAAATAATAAATTTAGAGGTAGGAAAAAGAAAATGAATATTGGCTAAGAAATGCTATAAATCAAAATCAATATATTTTAAGTGAATTAAAACAATGATTTCACCAGCTAGGTGTAAATTTTAGGTCTGTAGAGAATGGCTAATTTTAACACTTTTTGTTTTCTGTATGACATTAAAAATTTAATTTTTGGAAAAATTTCTTTGTTCTTGAATTTGAAAATATGAAATTAGGATCATGCTTAATAGGTATGTGTGAGTGAGTTTGTAGCTTACTGTATGCCGTCAAAGTTGTGTCTAGGCATGGAACTTCTAAGGTAGCATCTAATCCAACAGGGATTCGTGGCTTACTGATAATTTGTAGATTTGTAATTTCTAATTTAAAATACCAGTCCCGAAATGGTGCACTAGTGTTCTCTGAATTCGGAATGTGCAGTGGTCAGTGGGTCGTGATTCATGTCTGAATTTTCAAAAATGTGTCGTCAGTCTAATAGTTTGCAGAATGCTGTCTTATTCTATAAACTAATGTTAGGCCCAAAAAAAAAAAATTCTTGTGTTGGCCACGTTTTGGAAAAATTTTCAAAATGGGTAGGTCGGTAGGAAATTTTTTTTCCCCAAAAATGAAAGAAATAAGTAGAAAAAGTAGAAAATACACAGAAATACAACAAAGACCATTTAAAAATCTATATTTAAAAGCAAATCGATCGCACAACACTGTCGCATCACCTACCGTCCAGCAAGATAGTCTTATTCCAGCCTTTTAGCTCATTAAAAAAAAAAACTTTGTTGTAGACAACAAAAAAAAAATAAATAAATAAGATGCTGAACCCTCAATTTCGTACATTTTGGGTCAGTCAGGCGTGGCCAACACAATAATTTTTTTTATTTGGCCATATGCTGATAACAACCATGCTGTAGTGCAGTGTTCTGCAAACTTAGACTTATAACCCGATTCGGAAAATTTAGACATGAATCGTGACCCACTAAAATATTTGGGGAATTTTGCTGTACTGTACATTCATCTGTGCAACTAGTTTAAATGGGTACAGTATTCCCATTTTGATATACCCATGTTTTAGCTTTTTTTATGGTCCGTTGACAAATCTTTGTGCTTTCTGGTTTCTTATAATAATTGATTTTATTTACCACATTTCAAACAAGCAAAAATTTTTGTCAATGCCCTGGTG